GGATTTTTGCATCTATGTTGATCAGTGATATTGGCCTGTAGTTTTCTTTTTTTGTGACATCTTTGTCTGATTTTGGTGTCAGAGTGATGGTGCCCTATTGAATGAGTGTGGGAGTGTTCCTCCCTCTGCTATATTTTGGGAGAGTTTGAGAAGAATAGGTGTTAACTCTTCTCTAAGCGTTTGATAGAATTCACCTGTGAAGCCATTTGGCCCTATGCTTTTGTTTGTTGGAAAATTTTTAATCACAATTTCAGTTATAGTGCTTGTGATTTGTCTCTTCATGTTTTTATTTCTTCCTAGTTAAGTCTTGGAAGGTTGTACTTTTCTAAGAATTTTACCATTTCTTCCAGGTTGTTTATTTTATTTGCATATAATTGCTTGTAGTAGTATCTCATGATCCCTTTTATTTCCACAGTGTCAGAATTTACTCCTTTTTCATTTCTAATTTGGTTGCTTTGAGTCTTGTCCTTTCTTTTATTCTTGATGAGTCTGGCTACTTGTATGTCAATTTTATTTTCTCAAAGAACCAGCTTTTAGTTTTATTGGTATTTGATTTTTATCCTTTAATTTGTTAATATGGTGTATCACATTGATTGACTTGCATATATTGAAACAGTAGTTTCCTTCATTTCCTTTTCATTTATTTCTCATGTGATCTATATGATTTCTTTCCTTCTGCTAATGGTTTTTTCTTGTTCTTCTTTCTCTCATTGCTTTAGGTGTAAAGTTAAGTTGTTTATTTGAGATTTTCTTTTTTCTTGAGTTAAGATTGTATTGCTGTAACTTCCCTCTTAAAAACTGCTTTTGCTGCATCCCGTAGGTTTTGGGTCAATGTGTTTTCATTGTCATTTGTTTCTAGGTATTTTTTGATTTCCTCTTTGATTTCTTCTGTGATCTCTTGGTTATTTAGTAGTGTATTGTTTAGCCTTCCTGTGTTTGTATTTTTTACAGTGTTTTCACTGTAATTGATATCTAGTCTCATAGCACTGTGGTTGGAAAAGATACTTGATACAATTTCAATTTTCTGTAATTTACCAAGGCTTGATTTGTGTCCCAAGATATGATCTATCCTGGAGAATGTTCCATGAGCACTTGAAAAGAAAGTGTATTCTGTTGTTTTGGGGTGGAATGTTCTATAAATATCAATTAATTCCATCTTGTTTAATGTATCATTTAAAGCTTGTGTTTCCTTATTTATTTTTAGTTTGGATTATCTGTCCATTTGTGAAAGTGGGGTGTTAAAAGTCCCCAGTATGATTGTGTTACTGTCAGTTCCCCTTTTATGGCTGTTAGCATTTGCCTTATTTATTGAGGTGCTCCTATGTTGGGTGCATAAATATTTACACTTGTTATATCTTCTCTTGGATTGATCCCTTGATCGTTATGTAGGGTCCTTCTTTGTCTCATGTAATAGTCTTTATTTTAAAGTCTATTTTGTCTGTTATGAGTATTGGTACACCAGATTTCCTTTGATTTCTATTTGCATGGAATATCGTTTTCCATCCCATCACTTTCAGTCTGTATGTGTCCCTAGGTCTGAAGTGGGTTGCTTGTAGACAGCATTTACACATGTCTTGTTCTTGTATCCATTCAGCCATTTTGTGTCCTTTGGTTGGAGAATTTAATCCACTTACATTTAAGGTAATTATCGATATATATGTTCCTATTACCATTTTCTTAATTATTTTTTGTAAGTCTTTTCCTTCTCTTGTGTTTCCTGGCTAGAGAATTTGCTTTAGCATTTTTTGTAAAGCTGGTTTTATTGTGCTGAATTCTCTTATGTTTTGCTAGTCTGTAAAAGTTTTAATTTTGCCATCAAATCTGAATGAGATCCTTGCTGGGTAGAATAATCTTGTCTGTAGGTTTTTCCCTTTCATCACTTTTAATATGTCCTGCCACTCCCTTCTGGCTTGCAGAATTTCTGCTGAAAGATCAGCTGTTAAACTTATGGGGATTCCCTTGTATGTTATTTTTTGCTTTTCCCTTGCTGCTTTTAATATTTTTGGTTTGTATTTAATTTTTGATTGTTTCCTTAATATGTGTCTTGCCATGTTTCTTGGACTTAAACTGTATGGGACTCTCTGCTCTTCCTGGACTTGATTGACTATTTCCTTTCCCATGTTAGGGAAGTTTTCGACTATAGTCTCTTCAGATATTTTCTCAGACACTTTGTTTTTGTGTTCTTCTTCTGGGACCCCTATAATTTGAATTCTGTTGCATTTAATGTTGCCCCAGAAGTGTCTATTCATTCTTTTTTCTTTATTCTGCTCTGCCACAGGTATTTGCAGTATTCTATCTTCCAGCTCACTTATCCATTCTTCTGCCTCAGTTATTCTGCTATTGATTCCTTCTAGAGTATTTTTCATTTCTTTTTTTTTGTGTTCTTCATCACTGTTTGTTTGCTCTTGAGTTCTTCTAGGTCCTTGTTAAACATTTCTTGTATTTTCTCTATTCTCTTTCTGAGATTTTGGATCATCTTTACTATCATTACTCTTAATTGTTTTTCAGGTAGACTACCTATTTCCTCTTCATTTGTTTGTTCTGCTTGGTTTTTGCCTTGCTCCTTCATCTGCTTCATATTTTTCTGTCTTCTCATTTTGTTTAATTTAGTGTGTTTTGGGTCTCCTTTTCCTCAGCTTTGTAGTTCCCATTATTTTTGTTTTGCCCCCAGTGGGTGAGATTGGTTTATTTGCATATGTAGGCTTCCTGGTGGATGGGACTGGTGCATTTGTTCTGGTTGGTGGAGATGGATCTTGTTTCTCTGGTGTGCAGGGCCGCATCTGGTATGGTGTTTTGTGGTGTCTGTCAACTTAGCATGACTTTAGACAGCCTCTCTGCTAATTGGTGGGTTTTTGTTCCTGTCTTGTAAGTTGTTTGCTGTGGGGCATCCAGCACCAGAGCTTGCTGGCCATTGGATGGAATGGGTCTTAGTGTTGAGATGAAGTCTCTGGGAGAGCTCTTGCTTATTAATATTACATGGGACTGGGAGGTCTATGGTGGTCCAATATCCTGGACTTGGCTCTCCCACCTCAGAGGTTCATGCCCGTCATCCGGCTGGAGCACCAAAATTGTGCCATCCACACAGCTTGAAAGTAAAGGAAGGAAAAAAAAGAACGAACAGACAGAACCCCAAACCAAATGGTAAAAACAAAACTAAACAGACAAAATCAGACAAAGAAACGTACCCATGTGTGTGCGCGCACACACACACACACACACACACACACATAAAAAACAGACAAACAACCAAAAAACAAAAACAACAAGAACAGAAAAAGAAAACAAAACAAAACTACCAGACAGAACCCTAGGACAAATGATATCAAACCTAAAGAGACCAAATCATACAAAGATACATACACACATGCATTCACAAAAAGAGAAAAAGTGGAAAAAATTAAAAATAAAAATATTTTTAAAATTTAAAATAAAGGAAGGGAACAACCAAACCAATAAACAAATCCACCAGTGATAACAAGCACTTAAAACTAAACTAAGAGAAACATAAAACCAAAAACAAATCAGACTTAGAAAGCAAAGCCCAGGTCTACAGTTTCTCCCAAAGTCTACCACCTCAATTTTGGGAACATTTGTTGTCTATTCAGGTACTCCACAGATGCAGGGTTTTATCAAGTTGATTGTGGGGATATAATCCACTGCTCCTGAGCATGCATGGAGAAATTTCCCTTTCTCTTCTTTGTTCGCACAGTTCCTGAGATTCAGCTTTGGTTTTGGCCCTGCCTCTGCATGTAGGCCACCATCAGGTGTCTGTTCCCCACCCAGACAGGAGTGGGTTCAAGCAGCAGCTGATTAGGTCTCTGTTGCTCACTCCAGCCAGGGAGAGGGAAAAGTATGGTAGTCAGAATTAGAATGTGGGGTGAGCCTGCAGCACCAGAGACTGACATGACATTGCAACAGCCTGTGGTGCACCATGTGTTCTACCAGGGAAGTTGTCCCTGGATCATGGGACCCTGGCCATGGTTTGCTGCACAGACTTCCACAGAAGTGTGGGTAGTGACCTGCACTTACACACAGGATTCTTGGTGGCAGTGGCAGCAGTGTTAACAGTCCATTCCCGTCTCTGTGGTCTGATCTGATAGCTGTGGCTCACTCCTGTCTCTGGAGATCATTTAGGTGGTGCTCTGCCCTCTGTGGGCACAAGGAGCAGGAATCCCCTCTCCTCACACACACCAAAACAGTGGTCTCTTGCCTCTCCATCTGATCCAGACATTTTCCCAGACTCCCTCCTGGCTAGCTGTGGTGCACTAGTCCACTTCAGGCTGTCTTCACACAGCCAACCCCAGTCCTTTCCCTGAGGTCTGACCTCCAAAGCCTGAGCCTCAGCTCTCAGCTCCCGCTCGCCCCGATGAGTGAGCAGACAAGCATCTTAGGCTGGTGAGTGCTGGTTGGTACTGATCCTCTGTGCGGGAATCTCTCCACTTTCCCTTCTGCACCCCTGTTTCTGCACTCTTCTCCATGGCTCTGAAGATTTTCCCCCACCTGTTCCCACCAGTGAAGGGGCTTCCGAGTGTGTGCAAACTTTTCCTTGTTCACAGCTTCCTCCCAGTGGTGCAGGTCCCATCCCTATTCTTTTGTCTCTGTTTTTTCTTTTTTCTTTTGCCCTGCCCAAGAACATGGGGATTTTTTTGCATTTTGGGAAGTCTGAGCTCTTCTGCCAGCATTCAGTAGGTGTTCTGTAGGAGTTGTTTCACATGTAGATGTATTTTTGATGTATTTGTGTGGAGGAAGGTGATCTCCATGTCTTACTCCTCCACCATCTTGAAGGTCTCTTTTATTTATTTTTATATATGAATTTTTACAGGTTGTCTAATTCCCAAATAATTTCTTTATTATTAAATTATGAATCAATGTAGGAAAGATTGACATTATCATTTTTATATTTCTATATAAGTAGAGGGTCTGTTTTCCCATTTCTGCAGAACTTCTTTTGGAGTTCTCAGTAGCCTTTCCCTTTCTCTCTGTCTTTCCTCTGATCACAGCAAGATGGATTCTGGATATACTCTGAGTACTGTAACAACCACCTGGACGCCTGTATGGAGCTCTCCAAACTGATGAAGGACAGCCGCTACCAGCACTTTTTTGAGGCCTGTCGCCTCTTGCAGCAGATGATTGACATTGCTATTGATGGTTTCCTTTTGACGCCAGTGCAGAAGATCTGCAAGTATCCCTTACAGTTGGCTGAGCTCCTCAAGTATACTGCCCAGGACCATAGGTAAGGGATTGAGGGAGGCAGGAGTGAAGGAGACAGCCTCCTCTACATGTTAATCCTTATTGAGAATGTATGTCCTTTTTCCTTTTCTGAGTTTCTGTTAGCTTACATACACAATGGGATGATGACATATTCTTGCTTACCTCTGAAGACTGTTGTATATATAAAGTGAGACAATGCTTATCAGTTGCTTATAAACTTATAAATCAATATATACTCAAAATCAGTGTTCATCGTTATTGTACCACTTAGACACTACCTTCAGGGAGCTTATAGCCTGGTCCTTAGTCCTGAGTTCAGCCAAGTGAATCAACTGTTTATTCTACTCTGCTCAATAGAGTCAAATATCCTGGTAACAGACTGCCCTACTTGTACTGACCTTAGATTTCTTCTGAAAGGCTACACCCCTGGTCTTATTTAGTCTTTTACACCTTCCTCTGCCTCATCCCAACTGTACCTTCCCCTTAGACACACAGCATGACTGGGGGAAAATAGACGTGAGACTTCCCCTGAAGTTTTTTCAAAGTTTTTCAGTATTTTCAAGAAAACCAACCCAAAAAGGACAAAGGAGCTTATCTTTCTCTGAATGGAAATGACACTCCTAACCCTCCATTAGTAAGGTATATGCTGGGAGTCATCTCCAACAATGGGAATGGTCTACAGTGAACCATCCCCTATTTTTTCACGTGTTTTGCTTCATGACCTAGAGCCCCCAGCCTATTTATAGCCTGCTTTTAATTGGTATTAAATCCGTGACCTTAGGTTTATTGGCCCAGCTCTCAGTTCTCTTCCTGATTGATCACTATAAGAATAAAGAAGGCCTTTGCCCAATTTCCCTTAGTTTCTGCTTGATTCTCATCAGGCCTGCTTCGTACTTTCATTTGGCTCCACTGCCTGGTTTCCTTGGATCTGACTTCCAGACCTAGTTGCATAAGGCCATCGGTATGCGTCGGTTGGTTTTTTTTATGTCAAGCTCCTAAGCCAATCCCTAGGTTCATTTTTAAGTTGATGTTGTTCTTTAGCATATCATGGGTTATGTGCTTCAGTGGTCTGAATCCCTGGACAGATTTCAGATTTGAAACCAAATGTAGTAGCAGTGGACTCTCCCTTTGTGTGAGTAACACCACCAGTGGTAACTCTGCCTTCCTTGCTCTGTTGGCTGTGAGTGAGGCAGGTATAGAAGGACCTTGCAAAGGAGGACTCTGTTCCCTTCTCCCTGAGTCTGTTTACTAGCTGGAGAATAGTGGGAGTACTAATTAGACATGAAATTTGGAGGTGACTAAATCTCACTTAAAAGATTTAATAAAGCCCATTGCCAAAACTGAGTCCCAAGTTTTCTAAGGAGAAAACTTGTGAGAGCTAATAGGATATTAAAGAACCCCAACTAAAATATCTTAATATTTTAAAAATAAAAATGGAAAACATTTATGGAACCTAAAATGGAAAGGGCCTTAGAGGAAGGTCTTCTAGTCAGACTTATTCATTCTATGGCTAGACAGACTGAGTCCCAGAAAGGGAAAATGACAAAGAACAAGTCTGTGGCAAAGCAAGGACACAAAGTATGGACAGTGGTCTGGGAACCTAAATTTTTAAAGAGCGCTCCAGGTGACTTTCATGCCAAGGAAGATTTGTGAGCCATTGTACTAGCCAGTCTGGAAGGCCTTTTCTAGTTCTGCCATCCCATGTTGTAATGAATCTAAATGACCTCCACAGGAATACTTCAAGGTGCTAAGTGACCAGAAGCAGCCACTATTGCACCTAAATCTCAGTGGAGCTGCTTTCAGACCAGTGGTTTTAAAACCAGTATATTTAAAGAGTGATTCTCAAATGCTTTTATATCACAGCTCATCTCCCACCTACTCCTGAGTGTCTGCTCTAAAAATTATACTTGTGGACTGATGATATTAACTAGGTAAATTATGTATTTACATAAATGTTTTTAAGAGCACCCCAAGGACCAATTTTAAAGCACAGCCAAAAATTATATTTGTCTTTTAGACCAAAGCAACCCCAGGGCCTTTTGGGTTTAGTGGGAGCCAACAAGATAGCATATCTCCCTGGGATTTCCCATTCCTGTGCACCTTCACCTTGTGAGTGGAACCCCTGCATCAAGGCCTTACCCTCTGGGTCTCTGGTCCCCTCCCACCCCTAGGCTCAGGGGTGCTGAGAGAATGGCTCAGGCAGTCGCGGGCTACATCAATCCCTGTCCTCATTTGGGGTGACCCATTGGGCCTAGCACTATCCCCAGGCCATGGGCCACTCCTTCTTGCAGGCCTCAGGAAGCTGTATCAAGGTGATAGCTCCTGTGATGCATACCAGAGTAGCTTGGGTTTGAAGGCAATTAGAGACTACTGCCAGGTTGAAGACTTAGGTCGATAGGTGTTCAGATAGGTAGGTCTGAAATGCAAGCAGGCGGAGTAGCTCCTGAGGGAGAAGATTAGGTGGATAGAGAGTGGTAAATGGAGAATAAGACTGCCATTGTTTACAGAAGGGTGACATGTCCCCAACCCACCCCCCACCCAACCTTGCTTAAGCTGATAAGAAGAAAGACTCTGTAAGAGAGGGAGGTTAGCTGACCTCTCTGGAGCAAGACAATCTTGGTTCAGTCAGTCTCCTCACTAGGGTGCTGGACTCAGACCTCATCTGGAAGCCTGAGGGCTCTGAGCAGGGTTCAGGCTGGACAACAGCTATTTACTTTTTGCTCTCACCTACTCCTAAAGCTAGTGGGGAAGGTTAGAGATGGTGACATACCCCCCTCTAACCATCATGAGAAAGGCAGCCAGCTAAAAATGGCAAAGGTTGACTGACAGTATGGCACAGTGGCAGTGATAAATTCATGGCTAAGTAGTACATAGGGTCAGGCAGAGGTAATAAGCATTCTCATGCCAGCACTGTCCAATAGGACTTTGTATAGTGATGTAAATGTTCCATATCTCTGTGGTTTAATATAGTAGACACTGGCCACATATGGCTATTGAGTACTGAGAAATGTAGCTGATGCGACTAAAGAATTAAATTTTAAAATTTTATTCAATTCTAATTAAATGTGGCTAGTGGCTACCATATTTGACAGTGCAACTCTATGCTTTACCTCCTAGAAAGTGGCTTAAGGCATTTTCCTGATGCTCTCAAATCAGGGAGGAATAGCATGGGAGACAGAAAAAGGACCTAAAGAACAGGGGTGCTTATTTACGTCAGCAACTTCTGCACTGCAACTACCCCTTCTGTCATTACCCTACCTTGCTTCTAAATGGCAAGCTCAGATAGTCTTGCCAGGGAAAAACTTTGACAGTTTTACAGAGCACAATAACTCCTCCACAGGTTGAAGCAAGTAACTGTAAAAGAATGAAATGTAACAGAAACAAATGTAATATTCTGTAGTTGGGTCTAAGAAATCAACAATTCAAGGACAGACTGAGAGACATACAGCTTCTAGACAGCATATTTTAAAGAAATTTAAGAAGTATTGGTTGATCATAAGTTCAGTATGAGTCAGAAGTGAGATCCACAAGAAAAACTGATAACAACTAACATTCATTAAGGCTCAGGATAAAGAGGTTTTGGTGTGTGTGTGTGTGTGTGTGTGTGTGTGTGTGTGTGTGTGTGTGTGTTAACAGAATTGTCTTGAGACAGAATAGACTGGTTAGGATTTGTAGTGAGTATCCTGTCACTGTAGGTGATAAAATGTAGTAACGTTTGAAGACTATGGTCTGGCAGGTGTGCAGAGAACAGACTGGAGCCAGGGAGGCCAGCTAAGAGGAGGTGCTGTGTCTCATCTGCCTTAGCAGTTAGAACTCCCTTTCTTCTGTTCCTATGTTTGGTCCACCACCCTACACCTCAATGTATTAGGGAAGAAAAAGACAGTTGCCCTGCTCTTCTTTTTCTCTTCTCTTCTTTCAAATTGGTGCAGGGACAGTGAGAAGGTTAGTGACCACAAAGCATGTTCAGCTTCTCTAAGGAAAAGTTTGTTAAGACTGAACTGTAACTCATCCTCCTGCCTTCTCAACTTATTATTCCACCAAATGTCTGGGATCTAACTTTCAATCTTCTTTTCACAGGAGCCATTTGACTGGAAATTAGATCAGACAAACAGAGAAAACTGGGCAGGACGGTATAACCTTCAACAAGTGGGCTATCCAAAGTCCCAGGAAAATGGGGCCTAGGATTGTACTTCTGGAGTTAGAGGTTTTGAGAGACAAGCCATATAATGTCTACACTAGAGAAATGTTTGTTTTGTATTAATAATACTGCAGACATTTGCTGTGAGCCAAGAGTAAAACAGTTTTCATGAATTATTAAAACTTCAGCAAATTCTACTGTAATTCTCCCCATTTTACAGATGAGGAAACTGAGTCACTGAGAGGGAGAATGAGACTTGTCAAAGGCCACACCACTAGTCAGTGACTAAACTAGGGTTTGTGTTCAAGGAGTCTGGCTCCAGTCTCTGTTCTTAACCACAATGCTACATCCTATCTCTATATTGTATAAGAGGAAAGGTTTGGATGTTATTTTACAGTGACTTTGGGCAGAGTTCCCTAGAAATAGGTGCTAGAACAGATGGTAAAGTTCTCTGGACCATGCCATGTGTGAGGCTCCCTTCCTTGTCCTTGGCTGGTTGTATCAGATAGGTACAAAAATAATGGCATAGCAAAGATGAGTCTGTTTCTCTTTCATAGAGAAAAAGCCTGCAGGTAGGCAGTTTATGGCTGCCTTACTGGCTCCATAATTATCAGAGACTCCTTACAGTTTTCTCTTATCCTATCGTTAGGAGTATGGACCTTGTCCTCATGGTCTAAGATGGTTGCTAGAACTTCAGCCATCACATCTAAATATTCTTAAGTGTCAGGTTTAAGTAAGGACCAAAGAAGGGCATGCTGTTTTCCTTAAAGGTAGTTTTTCAAAAGTTCTACCCAACATGTCTATTTACATATCACTGGACAGAACTTGATCATATAAGTCACGTTTTACTGTAAAGAAGGATATAAAATGTAGTCTTTTGCACCATGTGGCATGGATTCCATCTAAAATCAGGGCTCTCTTGCTAAGTAGGAAGAGGAGAATGGATGTTAGCACCCAGCACTTTGGTTCAATGGCACAGACTCATCCAACTTGTAATTTTGTGTCTTCACAGTGACTACAGGTATGTGGCAGCTGCTCTGGCTGTCATGAGAAATGTGACTCAGCAGATCAATGAACGCAAGCGGCGCTTGGAGAATATTGACAAGATTGCCCAGTGGCAGGCCTCTGTCCTAGACTGGGAGGTAGGACCCTTACTAACAGGGACATTGGAGAGTCTGAATACCTTAGCCAGAACCTCACATCTTAGCCAAAGATGAGCAAAGAGTAATTATATTTGAAGAGCATCAGGAAGGATTTAGATTAGAGCCAAGGCAAAACTTCCTGCTAATAAGAGGTGTTGTGTACTTGAATAGCTTTCTAAGAAGGTTGGAGAAATCTCGGTTGCAATATTTCATTAGGAAAGGAAAGATTCATCTGTTTGGGTGTTGCTAAGAAATAATTGGGTTGACTCAGTAGCCTTTCAAAGCTCTTTCAAGTCCTGGAATTTTATCACCACCAGATGAACACTTGGATAAGGAGTAATAGGTACTAATTCACTCCCAGACACAGAGTGCAAGGTTGGTTCTCTGATGCAGGCCAGCCAACATACTTCTTCTTTTCCTCTTGCTGAGATCACCTCACCCTGACATATCTACTAGTTCTATCCAAGCCTGCACACTTCAGGCCACAACCATCATCCCTGCCCAACTGACAGGCCAAATTCTGTTTTTTAATTATCTGCTTATAAAAATAATCCCTGAGCCTTCCATTCTATTGGAAATGGCCACGACTTCTCTGAACTCAGAAAGCCTTCACTAAAGCATTGTCTTCTGAGATGCTAACTTTCAGAGGATATACACAGCCTAACAAATAAATGGAGCTTTTGCCTCTTATGGCACTGCTCTGTTGAAGTTCCTGAGGTGTCTGTTAAACAGAAAAAAGAGCTGTGAACTTTAAGGTCTCACAGGTACCTGTGTGTTAAGTACACTGTTTATTGCTTCTCTCTTGTGCCCATCAAGAGAACCAGGAGTAATGACATTTCACATTTATCTCTCAGACCCAAGTTATGAAATCTGACAGTCCACAGCTAATATAACCAAGATAGGAGAGGCAGGACATGCTATCAGGGAGGAGATGGCAATCTTAAGCTTCATGATCATAGTGTAGAAGTTGAGTCAGCTCCCCATTCCTATGGCCTCCACACAGGTATAATTTCTTGTAATTTGAGAGCTAGTAGCTCTCTAACTTCTCATATAGTTTAGCACATTCCAAGGGAATGAAACAGCCTTACAGTTACTTAACCAATGTCCAGAAAAAGTCATCTTTCCTTTATTCTGCTACTTCTGTTCCTCTTTAATGTACATGGCTAGAAATATCCACAGTTCTGAGCAGCTGGCATATTTTTGAGTCTTATTTGAAGGATAATGTCCCCATACAGAGTAGAAAACAGCAGTGATTCTTTGAGATGCAAGGAGAGGAAGGAATCTATATAAAGAGATCTTCTTGCTCATAAGAAGAAGAAAGCACTGGCACAGACTTATTAGGAAATCATGGATTCTCCTTCCCCTGTGTCTGGTTTGCTTTGGCTAGTTTCCTGATCAGAGGGCTGTATCAAATGACCTCTAGAAAGATCACTAATTCTCAGGCACTCTGAAACTGTGGCTGATTAGCAGGCCTCTTTTTCTCTACCCATGTGGGGATTCTCTGTAATAGGACGTTCCCAGCAGCAGTTGTCTTTCTATTCCCTGAAACATTTTTCCCCTTCCCAATACCTGGAAGACCTTCTAATTCCTCCATGGGCTCTTGGCCTCCAGTCCCTGCAGCTGGGGCCATGAGAGACCAAGTATAGCTTAAAATTCTTTGGCCTGTTCAGGGAGCTTCACTAACACCTAACATGAAAGCATTGAACTATGATTTAAAGACTCAGCATCTCAGAAGGAATTTTATTTGTTTTTGTATATAGTTGGGGGTTGGGAAACAAAGGAAAGTCTTTCAGATAGGAGGCAGTTACTTTCTGCCTCCTTTGTTAGCATGATTGACTGGTCCTCTAATCTCATCCAAGCCCACACAACCCTGCTTGACAAAGACCTTCTTTATTTAAGTTAATAAGAAGAAAAATTCCTTGTGGTTAACTTTTCAGACTCTGAGGTCACTGTGCAACTGACCAGCTTCATAGGGTTTGCCCTCTATGAAGCATTTTCTTTAGCAAGGCCTGATGGGTACATTTCAGAGGCCAGGACCAAAGTTTCGATCAAGTGTACCATATCTAGTCTTAAATATTTCTAAAATGTCAGAGTCAGTAGGTCTCTTAGGGAGCTCCCCAAAGAACATCTCTGGCCATGCTTATGCACATGTGTGTGCACACACACACGTGCACAAATGCCAACCTTGTAATGATGCTGGAAGTCTGAGAAACCTGTTCCTGACTGAGGCCAAACAGCAAGTCAATGACAAAACTAAAACTTGAATCTAGTCTCCAGATTCCCTGGGGGGTGTTCTTTACACTGCTGTACAACATACACTTCCAGCCTTCTGCTTCCTACAGACCAGTTGCTTCCCTTTATGATATTGCAGGGACTTATTTCTGCAGTAAAGTGTCCATATCTAAGCAAGAGAGTAAGACTGCCTTGGGGGGAAGTCCAACTCCCGGTAAGGCTAAAGGTAGATGAGTGCTGGGGAGCCTCCCACAAAAAGCAATAGGATATGTCCATTCCATGGCTGGTTGGCTATTGGCTTGGGTGGCTCAACCTCACTGGTTCCCTGGTATAGGTTTTTTCTATGTTCCACCTACCAGAGCAGTTGGACATTCAGAAAGAAGTTCTGCCAGCTTGGTGGGTGCAGCTGTGGACAAGCCTTGCAAATCAAGTAAATGAAGCAGTGCTTTGCTCTCTCTGCCACTCCCTTGCCTCCTCCACATGTTTGAATAAACAGGGTGGGTATCAAAAGCATCTACATAATAATTTCAGTTTGATTTGTCAAATGAAAAAGAAGAGTCAAGAGACCTTCAAGATGGGAGAGGAGTAAGACATGGAGATCACCTTCCTCCCCACAAATACATCTGAAATACATCTACATGTGAAACAACTCCTACTGAATGTTAGCAGAAGACCTCAGACTTCCCAAAAGTAAAGAAATTCCCCACGTACCTGGGTAGGGCAGAAGAAAACAGAAAAAAACAGAGACAAAAGAATAGGGATGGGACCGAAACCTCTGGGAGGGAGGAGTGAAGGAGGAAAAGTTTTCACACACTAGGAAACCCCTTCACTGGTGGAGACGGGGTGTGGTGGAGGAAGCTTTGGAGCCATGGAGGAGAGCACAGCAGCAAGGGTGCAGAGAGCAAAGTGGAGAGATTCCCACACAGAGGATCAGTGCCAACCAGCACGCACCAGCCTGAGAGGCTTGTCTGCTCACCAGTCAGGGCGGGTGGGGGCTGGGAGTTAAGGCTATGGATTCAGAGGTCAGATCCTAGGGAGAGGACTGGGGTTGGCTGCATGAACACAGCCTGAAGGGGGTTAGTGCGACACAGCTAGCCAGGAGGGAGTCCAGGAAAATGTCTGGAACTGCCTAAGAGGCTAGAGACCATTGTTTCAGGGTACACAAGGAGAGAGGATTCAGAGCACTGCCTAAACGAACTCCAGAGCTGGGTGCAAGCCACGCCTATCAGCATGGACACCAGAGATGGGCATGAAATACTAAGGCTGCTGCTGCAGCCACCAAGAAGCCTGTGTGCAAGCACCAGTCACTATCCATACAACCCCTCCCAGGAGACTGTGCAGCCCACCACTGCCAGGGTCCTGTGATCCAGGGACAACATCCACGGGAGAAAGCATGGCATGCCTCAGGCTGTTGCAATGTCACACTAGCCTCTGCCGCTGCAGACTCGCCCTGTATTCCATACCCCTCCCTCCCCCCCTGGGCTGAGTGAGCCAGAGCCCTCTAATCAACTGCTACTTTAGCCCCTTCCTGTCTGAGTGAAGAACAGATGCCCTCAGGCTACATACACACAGAGGCAGGGCCAAATCCATAGCTGAACCCCAGGAGCTGTGCAAACAAAGAAGAGAAAGGGAAATTTCTCCCAGAGGCCTCAGGAGCAGTGGATTAAATCTCGACAATCATCTTAATGTACCCTGCATACCTGGAATACCTGAATAGACAATGAATCAGCCCGAAATTGAAGTGCTGGACTTTAGGAGCAACTGCAAACTTGGGGTTCACTTTCTACATCTAATTTGTGTCTGGTTTTACGTTTATCTTAGTTTAGTATTAAAAGTTTATTATCACTGGTAGATTCATTTATTGATTTGGTTGCTCTCTTCTTTTTATATATATATAAATATCTATATTTTTAAATTTTTTTCTTTTTGTGAGTGTGTATGTGTATGCTTATTTGTGTGATTTTGTCTGTATAGCTTTGCTTTTACCATTTTTCCCAGGGTTCAGTCTCTCCATTTTTTTTTATTACTTTTCAAATTTTAATAATTTTTAATTTTTTTATTTTAGTAACTTTATTTTATTTTTCCCTTACTTTCTTTTTTATTTCCTTCTTTCTTTTTTTCCTTTCTTTCTTTCTTCCTTCCTTCCTTCCTTCCTTTCTTTCTTTCTACCTTTTCTTCTAGCCATGTGGCTGAAAGAGTCTAGGTACTCCAGCCAAATGTCAGTCCTGTACCTCTGAGTAGAGAGAGCTGAGTTTAGGACATTGGTCCACCAGAGACCTCCTAGCTCCACATAATATCAAACAGCAAAAGCTCTCCCATAGATCTCCACCTCAATGCTAAGACCCAGCTCCACTCAATGACCAGCAAGCTACAGTGCTGGACAACCTATGCCAAAAAACTAGCAAGACAGGAACACAACCCCACCCAATAGCAAAGAGGCTGCCTAATGTCATGCAAATGTCAAAACACCCCAAAACCCACCACTGGACATGGTCACGCCCACCAAAAGACAAGATCCAGTCTCATCCACCAGAACACAGGCACCAGACCCCTACCCGGAAGCCTAAACAACCCACTGAACCAACCTTAACCACTGGGAACAGACAACAAAAACAGTGGGAACTACGAACCTCCAGCCTGCGAAAAGGAGACCCCAAACACAGTAAGTTAAGCAAAATGAAAACACAGGGAAACACACAGCAGACGAAGGAGCAAGGTAAAAACCCACCACACCAAACAAATGCAGAGGAAATAGGGAACCTACCTGA